TTAATATTAAAAATTTTTTAATAATAGTATTTATATTTGCATATATATTTATATTCTTATATAAATATTTTTGATGTTAATGTATTTTATTAGTTATGTTGTTGATACTTATAATATATTTGCATTTTTATTTTATAATAATTTGTATGGAACTTGATTACTATATTGTATTTTTCTAATTATTGTTATAACTGAGATATTCATTTTTTAATCTTTTAATTTTTATAATACAGAATTTATTTATTAATGTAACTATAACTGTTGATTAAACATCATTTTTAGAATAATCAATAGTTGTAGGTCAATCTCCATGATTTAATACATTTTCTTCCCATGTTTTATTGTTATACATTTGTGATCGTATTATTTTTATTGATATTGTTTTATATTTCTTATATATGTATTTCCCATAATTATCTATGTTGAGTGATTATTTATATGTCATTATTATTTCCTGAAAGAATGTTAACATGCTGTAAATTTGTTGTGTCACATGTAACTTTTATAAGACTGTCCATGCACATTATGTGTATTGTGTGCTACACACTTAAAAATTAAAATTAGGAGAATCTTTCTGCATTCAAATATACTAGAAATACATCGATTATAAAAATTTCTCAGCTTGATACAAATATCATATTATACAATTTGCTCTATCATGGTCTTTCTAACATTAAATAATAAAAATAAAATAACTATTAATAAAATCTTTAAAAATTTATATTATATTAAGAGTTGTGTATGTGTGTGTGTATGTGTGTGAAAATATTAGTCTCATAGAAAAACCAAAAAAAAAATTTTATTATGCAAATTAATTTCTTATACACAAATAAAATTAGAATAATGGATATTATAACTTTGGGTTAACATACACATTCACAATTCATGTGCTATATGTTGGAAGTATTAATATTTTATTTGTTCTGTACATTGATATTTTATATTTCAAGGTTTACAATCTATACATCTCACTACCAGCCTCGAATTGGTTTTTGCGAAGCTGATGTTAGAATCCACGTTTTATAATCTCTCTTTTTCATCTGCACTTGTTTGTGCCTCGGATGTGTTTTACACATCACATACCATCTTTCTTTTCTGCATACAAAATAACAGTCCTTGCAACGAAGTTGCAAGCGACCTCTCATTTTTAAACCACATACCGAGTTATATATAGGTAGCACTGGTCGCAGAAAAGAGGGTGTGTCGTGACTGAAATCACTGTTCAATGAGTATCTTAATTCCTGCCTGTCGCATATATAGTGGATACTACGAACCAATATATTTTGAACAGTTCCAGTTGTTAAAATTTTTGGAACAATAGAATTAATTGTTTGGTGCACCGATCTAAGAATTAAACCAATGTTCATTTTTGCTGTAAAAGAAAATTAATGTATATTAATGCAGTTGTACGGATCTTTTAATCATTTCTCATATCTTAGATAAGCAAAAATAGAAAAAGTATATGTAGAGAAGATCTTCATCTCTTTATAAAAGAGTGAAAAGCTCAATTAGAAAATATTTACTAACCTAATTTCAACAATCCAAAATTTTAAACATAGTGCGAATTAATTCTTCGTAACATTAATTACAAACTCTAAATATTAAGAATTTAATTACTCATAGTAATGTATATGTACATTTATTTATGAAAAACAGTACAAAAAATGCGCGTCAAGAAATTGATATTGACGTTAATATTTACGTTAGTCGATTAAACTTACTTACTAGAAAATAATAATAATTGTCCGTATGAATTTATCACTTCCACAAATAATATATATACGAATAAATAATTTTTCTGTATAACATTAAATCATTTTTGAGATTATTTCACAAGAAAAAAATGTTATATCCTTCGTACTTAAAGTCTAATATCTCATGTGCGAATGCGATACTGACATATGTACATACATATTTTGGGTATCGATTCTGTAATTCAAGTGAGGGTAAAAATTACAAAAATGAGCGAATGTACTAATTTTGGACCAATAAAATTATAAATTTTCTAGTAAATACGCTCATTTTTGTAATTTTCACCCTCACTTGAATTACAGAATCAATACGTTGATTGGCTAACAGAAAAATATTTATTATGCTGAGTCTATCTTTATACAATGTCTATAGTCTATGGCTTCACAAATCTCATAGGTTGGCAACAATGGCAGACGAGATAATCGGAAGGATAACTTAAGTAACGATTTTTGAAGGTTATTTCGCATACTCCGGACTCTGGATAGACTGCTGTTCAGGATAAACCTATTTCGAGCTGCGTCCACAAGATATCAACTCTCAACAAGATGTCCAGGAAGAATCCCGGGGACGATTATAAAAAAGGTTTTGTTCATTTTATCTATTACGCGCTATATTCAATCTAAATAACACTCGTTATATCGCGAATATCTCGACGAAGATATTTAGGATAATTAATATACAATTCTGTATGAAATATTAATTGCAGAATTGCTCGAAAATTAATTTTTAATTTGATATTTTCAAGAAAGATAGGCAACATTAATTATACTTAGAATATATTATCTTGCTAATGTATCTACTTTTAGTTAACAACGTTTCGTTATGAGAGATGTATTTTGTACCAAAAATGCGATCATTATTGCTTTTCTTTAAACTTTAAACAATAAAATAAAATAACTAATTTCTCGTTGTTATGCACATGTATATTAAAAAGTATATTGTAACATTATATTTTACAAGAGTATTTTGTATTTTGATTATAAAATCTCCTGTGAGTAATATAATTACTTTGCAAAAAATTAAATTACTATGATTGTAAAACTTATTTCTAATTGTTGAATTTTTAGAGGAGATGAATATTGTACTAAGCATAACTCGCTTAAAGATTTCCGGTTAAAAAGTCAACTTTGTTTAACTTGATCTGAACTTTGCCAGTGTTTGACGTTATCAGGGTCAAGTGTCTACAGAGCCGAGGACAGGAGAGGGGATGACAGGGATAGGGACCGTTCACCGATCAGATCTGAGGAGCATTGCGATTCAGATGACTCCAATCAATCCGATGCTAAGAAACAAAAGTTAACATTTGGCTTCGGGAAAAAGGCTGGCAATGAACAGAAGAAAGGAATTCAAATTAAATTAGGTTCTGCTTCTGTAAGTGAAGTATTTTCGCAAATCGATACTCTATATATACACATATTTCGTTTTCTGCAAAATTTTTTTTTTCTTAAAAATTTATCTTATTTTTTGTTTTGCACAAAGTTCTCTTTTTTTCAAATTAGAAACCAGCTCCAAAAGCAACAACAGTACAAAAACCAACAGTGGCCTCTGTGTTTAATACGGACGAAGATGATGAACCAGAGGAGATGCCGGCGGAAGCGAGGATGAGGATGCGAAATATCGGTCGTGAAACACCGACATCAGCTGGGCCAAATTCATTCGGCAAAACAAAGCAAGGATTCTGCGATTCGAAAAAAATATTTGAGAAAACGCTGAAGAAGGCAATGGAAGAAGCAAACAAATGATTTTTTCCATTGCCGTATATATCTAAATATATATACATATATATGTATATTCGGGAATTATTACTTGTACATTAATTTCACATAAATACTAAAAGTTTGTTCTTGCTAAAATCAAATGCATGTATTTTTATGAAATGTAATTAATTCATTGATAGAATTCAAATTTAAAGTTTTGCTTCAAGACTTAGGAGGATATTAGCTAATCTATAGACTATTGTTTCTATGCACATTATGTATAATAAATCTATATCTAAAATTTACATGTTCTGAAGAATCCGACGATTGTTTTTTTCGTGTAATGGATTGCCAGATGCTACATTAATTCCTGATAAAATAATACATGTAATTTATCTCTTTTTCTTGAAATAATAAAAGCAATAATATCATGCTCTGTAATTATTATATGAAATAAATAAAGTCTCAAATATTATAGTTTTATGAATTTTTATTGCAGTTTCAATTTTACATAATAAAATTATTTCCTGTTCTGTTGACCTTGGCGCAAATCCTGAAAATAAAAATGCATATATATAATATATTGTGGACTTTATAATTATATAAGTATACGTCAATTAATCTCAAATTTTAATTTTTTTTTATATTCTTTACATTTAAATACTTTGTTATATATAATAACCAAAACATTTAAAAATTTATATAAAGCAATAATTATATTCCGATCATTAATATTCTTATCTCTTACTCCGAATTGTTAATAAAATAAAATTTATTTGGTCAAAATTATATTAATTATTTGTATTTATAGTTACCCTAGGGAAATTGCGAACAGGAGGTGTTCTGATACGACGATCAGCCTTTGACCTGTTGCGTACCACTTTAGAGTGAATGGCACAAGAAACGCAGTAATGAAGCTTGGCATATAACTTCGGCAACTGATAAGACTGGTAAAAGCTGGCCTCTGTTATATCTCTAACAGCAGCAGCCTCGACAATATTTCTTATTACGAATTTCTTAATTGCTTTGTCCTTAGGGACGCAGCGAGCACAGTTGGTACAGCGAACTGGATTGACATGACCACGACCATGCTTGGCACGTCCACCATTCCTACGTTTACAAGTCTGTAAAAAATATACAAAATTAAGTCAAATATATACTAATGCACTTGTAAAGTGTATTGAAATGTATTAATTTTGCAATAAATTACAAATACATAATCGGTTTATATCTAATAAAAATGAATTATAATTGGAGTACAGCTTAATGCTCAAAATATGCTATATAGATTGCAAAATATTACTGCAATAATTAAATAGTATAGCAGCCACATGTCCACTTTACAGTAAATACAGTTTTGACACAAAAGAATATTAATTTCTCGTAAAATTTATACATTTCCAAAATACGTCCTACGTTTGGTTCCATTCCACACTCGAAAATATTTTGAGAACACGAAATGCGCGAAATACCAATTTAAAAGAATTAACAACGATAATCAATATAAATTACCATTTTGTATAGCAAATTTTCTTTCTGCTTTTTTTCTTTTCAATTTTCCGTCAATTTCCGTCCACTAATGGGTAAAAATACCACGTTGCGTGTCGAAAACTACATAGAAAGAGAGGTTCGAAACCGGAAACATGCTATAATCATAAAGTAATATAGAAGTGCAACTCTCTTAGTTTTATAAGACCTGATGGAATCGGATCCATTGAACTTCCGGTTGGATTTACGTTAAGTCTGACTTTCATCAAAGAACTTTACGATATTTATTTTTACATATGCATATAAACATGGGGTAAATAGATATTTATTGGCTATCTAATCTTAAAAAACAAAAAAAAAAATATTTAATAACCATATATATATATTATATGTATATAATTACAAAGTCCAAATATATATTATATATAATACTTTCTACTTGCAGAATTTATACTGATTTAAACCAAGCTAACAAAACAGAAGTAATTTTATCAGTATCTAAAATATAAATTCATAAAACAATACATTAAAGACTTTATTTACTTTATATGATGAATAAAAGAACAATTTTATTATTTAAAAAAAATAGTTGCTCTATATAGAAATTTTACAAATCACATTTATATTAAAAACAAAAATATTAAATTGATATAATAATATTGTTATACTTTACATCATATATTCTGCGTTTATTTCATTTATTTATATGTTAATAAAAAAACATGAATGAATTTTATAATTATTAAAGTTTAAGCTTGTCCTTTCTCTCTTTTAGATTGCAAATTGTTCGATTTTATATCTTGTTTGAAGTGCCGCATACGATGCCGTTTCATATCGCCCTTTTGTGTGAAACTTAATGAGCACACGTCGCATTTGAAAGGCCGTATACCCTCATGGATACGTTTGTGAATAGACAGATGACTGTTTCTCATAAACTTTTTCTCACATATATTACACTGATATTTACGAGCCTCCATTGGCAAATGTGTCTGCATATGCATGGTCAAATTTTGTTTGTAACTATTAACATAATAAAAAATATCGTATTTATTTACTTTACATGCATTCTCAAACACACAAATATTAATATTCTTACATATATTTCTTCTCCAGTTAAGTTTGGAATACACACACAAATCCGCACCAAAATTACTGTTTTATAGAAATTTTTAATGTTTTATTATATATAACAAAGTAATTTAATGAAAAAAATATACACAAAAAGATTATAAAAAATTATAAGACTATTTAATATACATATATATATATATTATAATAAATTTACCTAAAACATTTACCACAATGTTCACACATGAAGTTCCCCTTTTGATGCCGTTGTATATGAGTCCATCTAGAAGTATAACTCCTGAAACAATTTCCTGATTCAGTGAAATTAAAATAGAAAATGACAGAAAAGGGAGAAGAAAGGGAGGGAGGGAGGGAGAGAAAGGAAGAAAGAAAGGAAGAATACATAAATTATAAAAATAAATCAGAAAACATCTTTGTATAATTAAAACTTTGTATAATTAAAACAAATGTGTCTTACCGAAAAGACCGGTGGCATATGGGACAACTAAATGGCATTTCTCCCGTATGAATTCTCTCATGATTAATTAACGATTGATACGTGCTGAGCTTCTTGCCACAGAATCTGCAAATATAAATCTTGCTCATGTACAGTTTACTAGATAGTTTCTGTACATCTGGCTCCAAACCATGAGACTCTTGTATATGTTTTATTAGATCCTGTCTTTTTTTAAAAACTGTGTCACAATAACTGCATTTATGCCCAAAATGAATTTTACGATGCATTGTCTTGAAAATTATGAAACAAATTTACAAAGTTAGTTACATTATGATTATGATAAAAATTTTTTTCTCTTCCAATAAAAAAGTATTCAATCACATATATTTATACTATTGTTTGCCATAAATTTTTAGTAAATTTACCATATTGTGTAAGTGCAGGAAACGACGGCCGCAAATATCACATTGATGAAGTTTGTTGTTTTCATGAATAGTTAAATGCTTTCGTAATCGAGACTTGTCACTGAATGGTCGGTCACATATGGTACATTTAAATTTATCCCAGCATTCAGGATCATGCACCTATAAGTAATTTAAGAAGTTTTCTCTAATACTGTTAACGCCTTTTTAAATAATTAAATAATCCACAATATATACACATACATTTCTATGTTTCTCATATAATTCTTTGTCAACAAATATTTTAGGACAAGCAACACATTTATATATAGTCACAGTTGGATCATTGATCATCTCCCATTTATGTTTCTAGAAATATGTAAAAACTTTTAATATTGAATGTAAGCATTTTTGAATTAATAATTTGTAACAAAATTACCCTCAAGTGACGCGTCAATTTGAGATGCGTAGCAAATGTTGTATTGCAATATTTGCAATACTTATTAGCCATTTTGGAACAGTTATTTTCATTGTGATTCTCCCAATGCCAACTGTTTGTGAAGAATTTATTGCATTTATTGCAAACATATCTTAATTGCATTTTTTTATACATATCATGCATTGCACGTTTATGAAGAAATAATTCATATATGGACGAACATTCTGTACAACAAATGGTGCAAGTCACAGATTTTTCCTCATGTATTTTATTATGGGCTTCAAAGTATCGATCCTCCCCGAAATAGATCTTGCAAATATCGCAAAATGAACGTTCTTTTTCTTTATGCTTGTTGAACATTTTAAGTTTCTTCAAAAGTATGTTGCAATTTTTTATTATTCTATCTGTGTCTGAATCAGAATTAGTATCACTTTGTTCTGCCGAGTCTATTTGTACTGGACTGCTCTCAGTTTCTATTTCAATAATATCATCATCAGTTTGTACTGCTATGTTAATTAATGATGTTGCTATTTCTTCATTTACTGTAAAAGTTGCAACTGCCTCCTTGGAATCATTGTTCTTATCAATCTTTTGTTGCTTATCCTGATTATGGATATTCCTCTCATTTGTAATCTTCCATTTATCTTCCTGATCATTAACATGTTCACAGCTACTACAAATTACAATATTACCACTGTGCCTTAACATTTTGTGTGCTATCAACTCGTTAGATTGATAAAAGCTACTATCACAAAGATTACATCTCCATTTTAAAAAATGGGATTGTTCCATATGAGTATCAAATGCATCTACATCTTGAAAATTTAAGTCACATAGATCACATTCAGTTGGGCCAGCAATAGCTCGTTTCTTTAGTTCTCTTAATAACAGTAGTTTAGCATTTGTTGATTTAGATATTTCAGATTCCTCGCAAGACATTACATCATATTGATCTTTGAAGATATTTTTCTGTTTTTGGTCTAATTGCGTTCGTAGACGATCATCTATTTCCATCGAAGTAAGAATTAGTCTATAACTAGTGTTTAAGTGACATAGGCAACGTCTACATATATTGGAAGGCAAATTGTCTGTTGGAGAAATCTAGAAATATGAATCAAGTAATATTACAGTTTATAAATTACCATAAGTATAGTTTCAAATACACGAAATGTTATATAGCTTATTCAACTTACAATAATTGGTAAACATCTGCTTATTTTTTCTGGAATACAGTAATTGTTTTCTTCAAAAATTGGGACATAGCACACTGATTTTTCTCCACACAAACGACATATTTTATATGTATGTATTTTCTCATCTTCAATTTTATTAAAAGATTTTACTTTTGTCTCCATGATCAATCTTTAACCAAGGTCCGCAAATTCTCTCTGTTCATAAGACAAATTGCATTATATTAAAAAATAAATACATGTTAGAGGTTCAATCTTTTTTATTTCTGTAAATCATGTCAAATATATACTGCATATTACATATAAAAATATAACTGTAAAATGTATAAAAGTTTTGCATATAAGTTTAGTCAAAGTTCATATTATTGCGTCGCTCTATATCCCTAATTTCTAGCATGTCTGTTTTGAGATGCAGTTTCATAATTTCCCTCCATATGTCCATCCTGTGCTGCTCATTATCAACACCGAGCCGCAGCAAAATATTTTCGTTTATTCTTAACAATACCCTTCCTGTAATGTCATGCTTAAAAAGAGAGATAGAAACTGTTTTTATTCTTTATTAAATGTATTGTCTTTAAATAAGAAATTACTGCAAAATTAGCAATCTTGTCTCAATCTTAATATCTTGCAGAAACAAATGCATTTAAGTAGGTAATTGTAAGAGGAAAAAAATAACGTAAAATTTGGAAAAAACGGATTGAATGAGCAAAGATTTCACAAAAAGAAATGCTCACATGTAGAAACTTTTCGTGATATAGCTGATAATAATCACTGCAATGTCGCCTCAACCACTTTTGCACGTCTAATACATTCCACAAGTATACCGGACGAGGTCTAGCTGTTTTGTTCTGTAATGATAATTTGTATTGAAGAAGAAAATTTTCTATTTCGCGTATGCGAAAGACTTAGCAACAGGTATCCCATTGTCAGTATAGATATTCTTACTTTCGGTTTATTGCTAGGATTAATGATTTCCTCTACCATCGTATTTCTAATCTTCGGTAATGGAAAATATATTGCGATAAAAAGTAACAACAAACGGCACTTACATTATAACAAAGCATATACGATAAACATATATGATCAATTCAATGAATTATAAGAAGACGCTAGAGATGCTTCGAAGCATTGCATTAACCAATCAGAATAAAGAAATCTTTACTCTCTTTGTCCTGATTGGTCAATTAAACGCTTCGAAGCACTTTCAGCGTCTTTCCGATCATAGAAATTCCTAGGGAATATTCGCATCATCAACCATCGCGATTGGCGGCATTGAATACGACGAAGCCGTTTGAAAGACGTGCGTTGCAAACGAATTCGCGTGTGATGACCGCTGTGGATGGAGTGTACAAATAGCCGAACGAACAAGAATAGTGCTGATCGTTAATATTGTGACGAAAAAGTGAAGGCGCGTGAACCGGCCGGCGGTACCCAGCCAGCTAACAGCATGTTTCGCTCGAAGAAGGATGTCGATCGTCATGTCCAAAATGTCTTCAGCAAACTACGGAACGAGAATGAGGTGAGGTTACTTCGTCGGTGCGCGAAAATCTTGTTTTTTTTTTCTTTCTTTCTCTCTTGTAACGTTCGCGCGGTTAACGGCCGAACGAGTGTTCCACATCATTTTTATTCGGCAATAACGACGATACCGATCACGAACAAATACATGTTCGGCATCCTATCTTACGCGATATCGTCTCGGCAGGTATGATACACCGGAGACCTTGAATCTCGTCAAAGCCAGGCGAGAGTAGACACGCAAATCGATGATGGCGAATTTTCGCGGGAAACCATTGTCACAATAACAATCGGCGTTTCGCTATATTTTGTAGTAGATTTATTCATCGTAATAAAATCCTGAATCTCGAGTTTAGTTTTTTATGATTGAAATGACAAGTGTCGTATTTATATTTATTTAATACAATCACATTAGACATCTTATGGTAAAGATATGTGTCGTTAGGCCGATGTTTGCTAGATTGTCATTTTTTAAACTGGATTCAGATTCACGATGAAAGTATAATTTCGAAATCCTGAATTTCCCCATACAAGATTTTTATCCTCTTTCAAGAAATTAATTAGTAAATAAATTTATTTTTTATTTAAAGTTTTTCTTAATTTATTAATTTATTTTCTACTAATTTTTTTAAGATAAAAATTATAGAAAAAATATGTGTAAGGGAGAATTATTTTTGAATTTCTAATTTATTTTTAGATTTGAATTAAAATCTAATATCTAATTTTCTTTACAGAAAGATCTTCGTTGTTACAATGTTGCCAAACTGTATTATCAAGTGGGTGATTATGAATCCACAAAAAGATATGTATCCAATTATTTAGAAGTACGAGATGGTTCAGCTAGTGCACATAAGTTGTTGGGTCAGGCGTATGAAGCTCTTGGCCAAAAGGAAGCAGCTTTAAACGAGTACAAAATTTCTCTTGAACTTGAAGGCAGACAAGATGATCTTGTCCTAAAAGGTAACAAATTAATATTTGTATGTATAGTCTCTTATACTCTAAATATTTTTGCAATAGTATATGAGTTTATTATATATATTTTTTTTAATTCTATAGTATGTGAATTATTGGCTGACATGGATATAGGAATGGATGTCAATAAAGTAGAATATTGGATAGATAGAGCTGATAGACAATTTCCACATCATCCAGTAGTTTTTCAATTAAAAGAGAAATTGTTGACTATAAAGAGACCAAACAATAACAGTGAAGATTTCGAGAAACTTATCAGATGTAAGTAAATATCATTTACTTGAATAATAAAGAGTGATTACAGAGATCAAGAATTAATATATATGTAAATAATTTTTCAGCTGAAATGATTGCAAGACCAAATGATGTCCAGCTTCCCTTCAAATTGTTAAATCATTATATATCAGAGCGCAAATTTATTAAAGCTTATGAATATGCTGCCAGTGTGGAGGCTGATATTCGTCATAGAAACAGTATTGTGTGGTATCAAATACTATACGAGTTATTAACAAAATGTAAAGACACTAAATCTTCTGATTGGTCCTTCTGGTTTTTCTATATATCTGTATCGGATAGATATGCAGCATTGTGTCTCAAGGAACAAGGCAATGAAATAAAGAAAAGCATTTCAGAAGCAACACAAGCGGTATTCAAGTATGTGCATTGAATAATATGTCTAAACTAAACTGTGCATTATGCAACTTTAGAACTTGTAGAATAATAATGAAATTGAAGCTTATAGAAAATATAACTTTCAGCAAATTGTGCGAATTATATAAATAATGTGTACTCTTTTTATATATTTGTTTTTGCGATGCATAAAATGAAAGTTATGTTTTAGTTTTGACCAAAACCTGTATGAGATGGAGCTAGAAAACTTTTCTAAACAGCACCCCTTTATGGAGCACTTGCTTACGCACATGTGGGGTCAATTGCACTTCCATTTGGCATGTTTATTACTGCGCAAAACGAAACGCGAACAAGGTAGCTGGAGCGAAGCGGGAAGACTATGTGCGCCTTTATTATTAATTGCTTTACATATGACTCCGCTGGAAACCCGTATAGGCATACATCTAGAGGATGACGCATCTAAGAATCAATTAAATATATGGATCAAAGAGGCTGCATATCGATGCTGTCAAGCTGGTATGTAAGAGATGTCTCGCAAACTTTGTAAACCTTAAATATCGTTACTAATACTGTCCCTCCTTTTTAGGTTACATTCTTCAAAATTATGCCAGGGATGATACAAAGAAACTGTTGGATAGAACTGATAAATTTTGCACGGGACTCTGGAGAGAGCGTATCTATCAGGTATAAATCTAATTAACTTTATGCAAGTTTTCAAATTTTAGATGTATACTATCTTAAATATACATTTGCATTGTTTTAGAGAATTTTCGTAACCAGAATACATCTCGAACATATGCAGAGTTCATTTTTTTGCAATTATTCAGTTTCTGATCCACCTCTACGTTTTTGCACTGCAAGTCAACTAAGACATTACAATCAAAGTATGTATAATAATCTTCCTTTAAATATGCAAGAATTTCAATAATCAAATTATGTACTATAATTATATTATCTACTATTTTACACACAACATATATGTGAGAATAATGATGCATGCACATCTACATTATATATTTGTTTTAAGATTTTTGTTAATAATAATGAATTATATCGAAAGAGAGTTATAATTTTAAACGCAATTTTATTATAATTGCAATAATTTAAATCATTAAAACGATAATTTCAAACAATCTTAAAATACAATAAGTATGATTATTTGTTTGCAGTTGCACAAGAAGTGTGGCCTGCTTCTTTACATCATCACATCTGGTTTGGGATGGAGAATCGACCTCAGCATAAAGACGCTCCTTATCCAGATCAATACTCGCGTGTATTTCCAACGTTGCAGTTTTCGGTATTCAATATAAACCAGGCAGCACCTGATACACTATGTCTCCTCGATATCGACGCATTTCTTAACGCAGCGATACTCTGTTCGTCCGCCGTTCTGGAGGAACAACAACTCGGTAGCTTCATCAATCCCGAAAGACTACCGACACTGCCGGTCGATTTGACCGCGACTCTATCTACCATCAATCAAGAAAAATGGTGGTCCGCGGCATATAAAATGTGCTCTAAACGACAAGACGTAGATAGCGATATCGGCGAACTGCGGCAGGAGTTGCAGCAAGGTTTGGAAGTCGTTCGCTGCATCGGCAATCACGGTATGCATCCAGTATTGTTGGTGCATCTGGCGCGCATGTTCCATTATCGCGCGAAGGTAACGAAAGAGAAAGATGCAGAGAACGCCTACATTCCTAGATGGGAGACACGTTCCGAGCTGTATTGGACCGCCGCTATACCGCTGTTGGAGAGACTGCAGAATAATCAAACTTTACGTATGTCATCATCAAAGTTATTTAACTATCAGGGCAAGGAGATGAATAACTTCGAGTTGACAAACGCCCTTGAAGAAGGCAAGTTGTTGTTAGCGCAGCGGCTCGTACGCGACAAGCAGTATGAGCAGGCAATTGACGACATCATCAAACTATCAGGGCAAGGAGATGAATAACTTCGAGTTGACAAACGCCCTTGAAGAAGGCAAGTTGTTGTTAGCGCAGCGGCTCGAGCGGCTCGTACAAATGTTGACGAAACTGCTTCTACCTCACGTTGGACCGGCTTCGTAGTCCCGGCACGAATCCCAAGCACCCGCTGAATGCCGAACTTGGTAACTTGGTACCTGACATCGAGAACGAATTAAAAAGGATAGATCCGGATCTTGGCAGAGGCGATTTGAGTAGAAATGACATCGATAATATATCCGATGAGAGTTATTCGCCCACTCACAGCGCCGTAGATCATGCAGTCACAAATCCGACATTGCTGAATACATTAACTGGTAATAATTCAAATATGCTGAGCACTCCTCAAAGGAATGCTCATCGCACGCCGCGTCATGCCAGCACGCCATGTAGACTGCAATATCAGGATTACTTGAATCTATCGAAGAATCGTACGGAAGCGCGTCCAAGTCCGGAGCGTCTCGATGCCCAGATACGTCAAATCATGCAATCCCGGGACAATGAGATGCAGGAGCTGATGGAACAGATGAAGAACATGACGACGCAGATAAAAACGTTAAATGAGAAAGTGGATACTTTGACGAAGGAGGTTGTGGAATCACGTAAAGAGAATCAGAAACAACAGCAGCAGCAGCAGCGCGTACAACAGCAACAGAACGTCAATCCTGCCGTCGAACCCGACGATTTCTACGTCCTTGACGACGACGAGTACGCCGATTTGAGCTACCAGAATCAACCAACCGGACCGGCATCTTCGATCTCCGGTAACATATTCGCATCCCAGCACGCTCGGCATCCTTATTCGTCGCTGGTATATCCTTCCGCGGCGGCCGCCGCCGCCTTCCAAGGCTATTATCAGGGTGGAATACCATTTACTGATCCAAATGCTCAAGCGGCTATATCATCCCTGTATCCGCATACTGTTTATCCAATGCCAGTACTGTATCCTAATCAATCAAAAGTGCCAGATAATCCGTTGCAGCAGGGTCTTTTCCAACCGACGCTTTCCTCGCAATTGCCCGATCTCATGCCGGCAGCAGCGGCGACGAATCCGTCATTGCAGATACCGCTGCAACAGAAAATCGAGACACCGCGGACGAAACCTGAGACGATGATGACAACAACAACCGCGACGATCATCAAAGACGCACCAGTAAACAAGGCGCCGCCCGTAAACGTGGTTATCACGACATCCGATACATTACCGACCACAGTGCCGTCTATTCAACCGACCTTGAGCGTCACCATACCACCGCAGTATCGACTGGGAGGAGGAGCGGTTGTGACTTTCTCTACACCTATAACGACAGCGACAATAGCTACAGCATCAACGACAATGACGACGAAATCGTCATCGTCATCGAACGCACCACATTGTTACCAGATTGCCCCATGTGTCAGAGCAACAAGTTACGAAGCCCTAGTTCGTGGATCGCCAATGGGAAAAATAAAACGATAATTCGATGTTATTGATACCCTATTAACAACGGGGGCTACAATCCATTGGGTTAGTATTTGTCTTCGCATGCTCGATCATGATTAAACGAGCGCGATAAACAAATTCCACGGTCATTTAGGCGATTGAGATCTTCGCTGAAGATGGCTCGTTAAAAGGGACATTATTTATCTTCCTTATTATGATATGTGATGCGAGAAAAAAACAGTACTACATATATATATCGTGTCAATCGGAGAAAACTTCTCCGTGTAACTTATGAGAACTCGCGACATCGCTAATATGCTAAAATACTTCCAATCTTATTCATTAATTCATGAAAAAAGATTGCACGACAAAAACGAAGCGATCTCCATCGAGAAAAAATTGAGAGCAAAAGATCTTCGTCTTTAAATAAATCTATTTTTGCACAAAATTCTCTCTCTTTCTCTCTTTCGTTTAATTGTCAAACCTATCGATCTTATGTTAATTAACCATCTTTTCTATCGCGAGTAACGTGTTTATTCGTGAAATCGGAGCCGCGGAAGGAATCGGCAGGTGATAATAAGAGGAGGAAGCGCGCGATAAAAGGGAAGATGAAGGAAAAAGAGGAGGAGGAGGAGAAGTTCGGCGAGATGCAAGGCGCAAGAGTCATCACCGCCGTCGTACAGGACGTCGTAATTCGACAGGGACAAACGACGAGATGCTGGCAAAGACGATGCTCCGTGACAGAGATCGTCGTCGTGACGACGACGACGACGACGACGACTGTCTGCCGGTGCCGTGCGATTTGTGCGTCTAGACGCGTCCTTGTACGCATGTTACGGTTGCTGCTCCGACTCGGGTCGCGGCGTTGATTCATCGTAACGGATTTAGACCAACTTACGCGATAGGCGCGTACATCGCTCCGATGAGCGATAAATTTCGCAGACGCTTTGATACGAGCGACAAGAGCCCGCCCTTTACGAATACATTGTAGATGCTCGGAGCGAAAATTCGACGAAGTCGCTTCGCGAGAAGTTTCAATGGATCGCGTAAAAAAATGAAGGGAATATATCGTTTAGATTAGAGATTTGATAAAAATCTCCGACATGCTGTGCAGTATATAATTTGATTACTCGAGGGTTTCACGACAGAGGGGCGTATCCGCAATTTTTCGAAAAATGTGATTTCAAAATATATATATTTTTTTTAAATGAGATATTACATGTGATATTAATATTTCTAATGCCTTCTTATCCAAAATGTACAAAAATTGCATTTCTATATAATAAAAATATATAAAACGATATTTTCCGAAATGTCAAACTATCGGGTGATGGATGTGCTTGCAAAATCTCGAAAAATACACGAAAAATTACGAGATCGTCTCGGGAAATCCCCGGCGCCTGAAAATATCACGAAACTGAATACTCCTTCGAGAGATATAGAAACGGCAAACGCGGAACCGATTATATTATTTCCAGCCCGCGAAAAAGGACAGGCGAGTCAGTCCTAAAGGAACCGATGAGAAATGCGACGCGTGCGGGGACGAGATAACGCGCGTCGACAACTTTAGGATTGTCGTCTGCGTGGGCAAAGAAGAGGTGTTACTGCTCTCGCGTCTCGCCGGTTCCTTAAGAAACGGTCGTACTTCGCCGGTCGTAATCGTCGTTGTACCGGCGACGCCGACGCCGACGCCGACGTCGTCGTCTTCTTCGTCTTCGGATCTCGTGTCTTCAGGCGCCGCGGCGTTTTCGACTGGCTGAATAAATACGCGTAAATTCCGTCACGATGGTTAGTGGATCCAGTCCGCCCGCGTCTTATTAAACGATCTTCCGTCGTTCATTTTATACATACACACCGGAGACAGAGAAAGAGAGAGAAGGATATATACATATATATATATA